GGGGGGGGGGGGGGGCTTTATTCAGGGCATGCTCACGCCACGTGCATTTGGTGTGCCCTGTTGTGCATTTCACTCGTGCCTCGTGTCGAGTATTTCTGTCAGTCGTTCTTTTGGAACTTGGGTGCTGCTTTGTTGTGAACTCTTTTGTTGTACTGTGTTTGTCCTGCTTCTATGCTGTACAGAAATTCAGCCTCTTTGGTTATCACATCAAGCCTGTCAACGACCATGCAAAGTCAGGCAATTATCTTCTTGCAACTAGAATCGACTTCGTGTGCTGTGTTTTGTTCTTTGCTGGCTACACTCTCACTGTCATTCTTCTCTACACTCTCTAAAAGTGCATCCAGCTGTACTTAGCATATTGATTAATTGGCATGTAGCGAACAAGATCCTGACTAGCACTTGCTACATACGGTAAGAAGCACAAAAACCACTTTGGATTGGCTGAACCCTTCTCATCAAATGGTAACTAAAATTTGCTCTCAGAATCACATTTGTTGGAAACAATAAGTCCTAAGTGCGCTTCTGTCGTATCAAAATCCAAGGTACCAAGCGAAGCAGTCCCAATCGAAGCATCGAGTCAACCTCGGAGGTTAAGGTAACCGCCTGGAGGTTACGAGAAAGTCAAAGGTCGCTGACCTTTGACTCGACAATTACAGCGCGACAGTTAAGGACACACAACTGACTCGTTACAGAGCAGTTGCCCGAGTCGCGCTATATCGAACCGCAACAGCAATACAGTTATCTATCTATTCCTTGTACTCTTATATAAATCCTTGTATTTGCTTGTTTAATTCAATCAACTTTGCTCTCACACACCAGTGCAAGGTCGGTTCAAATTCTTCACTAAACGCTTCCGCTGTTACAACTACTTCACCTAGAGTTATCCCTTGCAAAGATCCTAAGGGGCTATCTCAGCCCAACAACATTCACTGTGATAAAAGGGCTTGTTTGTGTACCGAGTGAGTGCGCCCATAACCCCTCAGGCCAACGTGCATTGATGTGGGTTGGGGTGTATATGCCTAACCCTAACATTTGTACCCCATAAGATAAGCCTCACTACAGGCTACAACATTTGACACATCCCCATAGCCTAAGTGAGGGGTGTCAAACAAAAAACAAAAGAGTACGGTCACAAGACCAGTCACCAAGAAACAAAGCTCAGGGTGGATCACAATGTCACCACACATTCCGAGCACAAACAGAATGGCCACAAGACCGGTTTAAGAGTTCACAGGTGTATGAACAACGAGAACAACGAAACAAGCAACGTCTACACAAGACGAGAACCAGTGTCAATGAGGCCTAACTGCACACAACACGTGCGATGGTCACAAGGCGTAAGCGCCTTGGTGAAGATGTCTGCAGTGTTGGCCTCGGACTCCACAAAGTCTAAGCGAGCCTGTCCACGCCTCTGCAATTCTTGCAGAAGAAAGTACCTGAAGTTGATGTGCTTCACTCTGGTCTCCAGTCGAGGCTCCCGACAGAGAAGGATCGCCGCCTTGTTGTTGTCGGTGAACAAGGTCGGTGCAGAGCTCTGTTAAAACAGGACCATAGCCTAGGACTAGGAGCCTAGGGTTTAAGCTAGGCAAGGGGGGTGTTGAGAGAATAGTCCAAGCAAAAGAGAGGTTCACTAAAGGGCCAAAGGCCCAAGTTTTACAACAAACAAGCAAGGAAAGGTGCACCACCAACAATTTGTAACAATAACTACAGTAACTACACTACAGCTAGAACTATATACAGAAATATATATATAATATATTCTGACACACCCCCTAAGTGCATGCAGGAATAGCCATGTGAAGAACATCCCTGAAGTGATACACCCTGCAGAGCGCAGCAGACGGAGAGGGCAAGTGAGGAGGAGGAGGGACTATGAGAGGAGCGAGGAGCGGCGCGCTGCCACCCCTCGACGCAAGGAAGACAGGGCGGGGCAGGCGAGCGCGAGAGGTGGGGCAGTGACCTAGGAAGACCAGAGACAAGGAGCCGGGAGTGCATGCCACGGAGGCGTGGTAGGGACGGGTGACCAAGACGGTGGTGCAGTAGGAGAGTCTGGTGCGAGAGGTGGCGGCACAAGCAAGGGGTGGCTACCTGACTTGACGCAAACACCTGACCAAACGCAGCTACCTGAGGAGGCTCAGTTGTCAGTGTGTACAGACTTGACCCAGGCCGACGGGTGAACGTGGCCAGGTGACGGCCAGTCCGGGAGCATGTACAGATTGCCACACGCTGCTCTCCAGGTGTAAAGGTATCAACCCATGCATCTTGGAGGACGCCGTTGCTCACGAAGTTCGTCGAGAATGAGGGAAGGTGAAGACCTGACAGCAAGCCAGACGGAACCGCCGGACACGGGTGAACAATGGTGGAACGAGCAAGAACTGGGCCCCCTGAGGGGTCAGCCAGAGAGACTGCAACAAGTGCAGGGAGTGGCATGACTGTGGTACCAGAGAGAGCAAACTCACTAGCATCTAGAGCAACAGCCTTTATATCTGGGTCGGGCGGCACACACAGGTAACAGTCACCCTTAGCACTTACAGACAATGCATACATGGCAGCAAGAATAGCATCATAGTCAAGAGCAAAGATATCTACATCGCGCTTAAGCAAGTCTGCCCAGCGGGGGAGCTCATATGCATCAGGAAACTGTGTGCGCCAGGCATCATCAAGACGAGAAAAGCAGCGGTACTGGGCGTGAAACCTCCCGCATAGCCGACTAGTGCGGGGACCTGTGCGAATGACATACGGGCAGCGGACAACACCCCCAGACGCCCCTGAGCATACCAGTCACGAAGCTGCTGGGGTGTAAGGGTCTCACGCGGACGCTGTTGCTGCTGCTGCCTTTGACCACCACCAGAGCATCCCCTCTGAAAGGGTCCACCCCGACCGCCACCATTGCCGCCGCCACCGCTCCCACTCCCGCCACCACCTCCGCTGCAGCCTCCACCGCCACCGCTCCCACTGCCGCCACCTCCGCCGCCTCCACTCCCAATACTACCGCTACCGCCGCCACCGAAGCCTCCACTCCCGCCACCACTCCCACTGTGAAGCAAGGAAAACAGGAATGAAATGACTAAGTCAGAGTTGGGTACAAATACAACCCTAGAAAGCTGTACCCCATATGTGCTACCCCACTATAGCCTACAAACATGCATCAGCTATGATAATCTGACACACCCCCATAGGCAAAGTGGGGGAGAACAAGGGGTCACAAGACCAGTCAAGCAAAGCAAAGCAAAGCAAGCTCAGGGTGGATCACAAAGTCACCACACAGTCCGAGCACAAGAGCAGGGCCAGAGGCCAGTTCACATGCAGGAGTACAGACATATATATAAAACTAGACAAGCAAGAGCAGGTATATATATATGTCACAGTACAAGTGAAGTCAAGAGGAGAGCAAGTGAGGCAAGACAGGCACAAGACCCAGCTGGGTGCAAAAGCGCTGATGGTCACAAGGCGCGAGTGCCTTGGTGAACACATCAGCAGTGTTGGCCTCAGAGGCCACGTACGCAAGTCGCAACTGACCACGCTGCTGCAGCTCACGAGCAAGGAAGTAGCGGAGAGCAATGTGTTTCGTTCTGTGCTCCAAGCGCTGCTCTCGACACAAGGCCAGCATGGCCTTGTTGTCTACGTACAGCACTGGAGGAGAACGAGGTGGCTCTCCAAGGTCAGTCAGCAGGTAGGTGAGCCAGCGAAGCTCCTGTGCAGCCATGGCCCCGGCGTAGATCTCAGCCTCACAACTGGAGCCGAGAACCGAAGACGAGCGAGTAGACCGCCACGAGACAGAGCCGGAACCAAGGCTGAAGGTGTAACCCTGTGACGACCGCTGCGTAGCCTGGTCGTCAGCCCAAGAAGCGTCCGCGTGGCCGGTAAGGACCACTGGACTCCGCCCTCCAAGCACTAGCCCCATGCCCGACGTACTGCACAGGTAGCGCAATACCCTCTTCGCTGCAGCCATGTGCTCTGGTCTGTGTCTCCCAGGAGCAACATAGCGTGCAAGAATGCTCAGAGGGTATGCAAGGTCAGGTCGTGTGCAGGTCATCAGGTACATGAGGCAGCCAACAAGCTCTGCATACGGACCACTCGACTCTACGGACTCATCCGAAGGCAGAGCTGAGAGTGAGTGGCGAGTAGGCAGAGGAGTGGCCTGAGGCGAGGAGTACGTGAAGCCGAAGCGCTGAAGGACCTGCTGCACCATGTGTGACTGAGTCAAGGTAATGGTGCGGCGTGCTCTGTCCCGAGTGATCTGCAAGCCAAGGTAGCTGCGCAGTTCACCCAGGTCTGTGCACGTGTGTCTCTTCAGCAGCTCGGACTTCACGTAGGCGAGTCCAGCAGTGTCCGCTGTGGCAAAGACCAAGTCGTCGACGTACACGAGGATGTAGAACGGCGGCAGGGAAGTGTCGGTGCGAAGAAACAGCGACGGGTCAGCAGTAGAAGGAGCAAACCCAAGAGCCGCAAGCGTAGTCCTCAGTGTGTCGTGCCACTCACGCGGTGCCTGGCGGAGACCGTAGACTGGCCGTCGGAGGCTCCACTGGGTGCCAGGAGGGAAAGTCCCAGTGAAGCCAGGTGGACGGCGCAGCCAGATCTCCTCGTGCAGGCTACCCTTCAGGAACGCAGTGCTGAAGTCGAGAGAGTGAAGCTCGTAGTCGCGCTGAGCGGCAATGTGCAGCAGCACCCGAAGAGTGGTCATCTTTGGGGTGGGAGAGAAGGTCTGAAAGTAGTCAACTCCCTGCCGCTGACTGAAGCCACGAGCAACGTACCGCGCCTTGAAGACAGGTGGAGAGCCCGGCGGCCGCTTCACCCTGAAGATCCACATGCCACTGACGATGTTCGCCCCA